GCACATCGTACTTCCGATGGCCGTTGCCTGACCGGAAGGGCTTTCGAAGCTTCGTTCCGTCGACTAACGGCGCGAGCGCACTGATGGTTGGCGTCACCAGCCTGGCGACTGGAAAAGAAACAAAACAGACATTGATGCTTGAAATTAAGCGTTTCCCAAACAAATCATGTCACATACATTTTTTTTTTTTTTTATTATTTGAGGGTTCGAGGTATCACGAAGGCGATATACACTAAAACTAAGTACCATATAAACAAACAAAAAATGATGCAAGAGGGTTCTTATATACAAATAAACAAAGAAATGCGATTAGTAACTGGCGATAGATGTGGGAAGGCGATTCTACTCGAAAAACGAGGTAGGATTGATTTGTGACAGCGCAGTAGCGTTATTTATTTTGTTCCCGAGGGAAACCGAAACATATTCTTATCGGTTTTCGGTTCGAGCGGAAAGTTCACGTTCTGCTTCTGAGTGCATACTCAGTGCCTTGAGCCGTTCTTCCTCGCGGTGTCTTTTACCCGGATTCTTTCTTTTTTTTTTTCTTCCATTGTTTGTATAAATGCGCGCTTGCTCTTTTAATTGTCTACTTTTTGAGAAAAATGAACGTTTTGTCTTCTTTAATTTTGGTTCGGCATTTTCTTTGCACGGAAACACGAACCGTTACAAACAATTACAAATCATCATTTTTCTTTTTAATTGAACAGAGCTAAAACTAAGAAAAAAAGATCGGTCCGATATTTGAAGTATGGGTGTGACACTCCGAGATTCTGGCTTTGTCTGTGTTCGTGGCGTACTGATACCTAAGATCTCGTGGTCGGAGTTAATATCCCTTAGTGCATGCCCTGAAATTAGGCTCGGTGGCACGCTCAGGGAAGAGCCTAGCGTCGCCGAGAGAGGCAGTGGTATCTTTTTATGGACTTCGCGCTTGGGTCATGGGGCTAACACTCTTATTGCTCCGTGGTAGGTTCTCCGGCCTTTTTGATAGTTACTGCCGCCCCCGTATTGGCTGTGCAGCGACAATGAGATGCCGCTAAAGCAGCGTCCCTGAATTACGAGGTATATATATTTTTTTTCTTCTCGATATTGCTTGTAGTTTGGTAAATATCGAGGCTCAGCGTTTGGTTGCGGCCGTGTACGGCAAAACCGAAACTATTTGTTAGAGGGATGGCAACACTGATCACGAGCCGTACGGCCGCGACGTGACGTGGGTGCTGCGCCAGTGTTGCTCGACAAAAAAAGCTAGCCCGCTTGCAGCCCGCTAAAGAGCAGCTAATCGCACCTTTACAATCGGTTTTAGCGGAGTACGCGGCTTCACTTTGCTGTAATATTTCGGCTGTGATCATATTGTGTGCCACTAAAGCAATACCAGTCATTTATTTTAGTTTCGTTTTCGACCGGAGTTGACCTTTAGGTTCTCAGCGAGTGTTCTAAGTTGGCGGTTGCCCGCAGTCGACCATAGAGACCATAGGCGATCCTATAGGTCGTCCCGCCGTTGCCCCGTTGGCGTATTTCCAGAGAACGAAAGGCCTTGCAACGGGACACCGATGGGCGTTCACCCCTTACAACCGCTTGCGCAACTTGCAGCGCATGCCGCCCCCTCGTGTTGGGCTGTACTCGCGGCAACGATACGTGCCTGGCCGAAATTGGGGCTCGGCGGTGATCACATTCCCCGTTGCGTTTTAAACAGCCATCGAATCCGTCGTCGTCCCGTAGGCGGTGAGAGCGACCCGTGTGGTGAGACCCGCACTGTCCGACTCGGCGCTATCCGCCCCGGAAGATGACCGTGGGAGTGAGAACATTTTCGAAAACGCGAGACCACGAGCGACGCTGGCCGAGATGGCGACGCAGACAATGGGCACCGAAACGAAGGTCCTATCGGAGTCCGTCCCACGCGCGCTGCGAGTGTTCCTCTTCTCTGACCGTATCGGAAATGAGATGGGCGTTGTTGCTTCGGACGGTGCGTCGGAACTGTTCGTTCCGTGTTCGGTCGCCCACGGACCGTAAAGCAGTATCGACGTTTTCTTGTCGGCTACCACTTAGCTCGGGGGTAGCGGACAGGCAGGGGGAACATCGCGGAAATGCTCAGCCGCGCCGTTAGCGCGGAGGAACACTCTCTCTCGTCCGGCGCATAATCTTTGCCGGTGTTCTTCCGCTAAAAGCGACGCCGCGTCGAAGCGTGGGCGAGCAGCGCGCCGTTGTTCCTCTCGGCTATGTTGTGTATGCTGTACTTGGGGCGCGATCTGCGAACACCGCTCGGCAACTCTCTTCTTCGAGCGGCGGCGCTCGGTTAATTCGGCTCAAAGTTGTCTGCTGCCTGGCGTTGGCGGTGCCTGCCGCCGGCCGCGTTTGCCATCCGGCGCTCGTTGTCTCGCATCCCTGCGGAGCGATTTGTTTGTCGCGTGGGCGACGGACAAACAGAAAGCAGGGGCCTCCTATTGTTTTTGTCTTCTCTTTTTTCTCTTTTTCATTAACTTGTTTATAATGCCACGATGGCGGTAGCTCCGAAATATCCGGGGCGATGTTTGTTCAGCACCTTCCCGTCCTCGCCCTAACGTTTCTTTTTTTTTTTTTTTTTCTTTTTAGTTTGGAAGCACTCGATTTTTTGACGATCTTTGTCTTCGTCGTTGTCTTTTCTCTTGGTCCTTCCCCCGGGGGGCCGTTGGCTTCGAAGCGAGCACTCGCTTCGGTGGCGGCGTGACGTTTCCGCCTCTACTGTTTTTTTTTTTTTTTTTTTTTTTTTTTGGGGGGGGGGGGGGGGGGGGGGGCATTTGTTTTTCGTCAATATCGGGATTATGTTCTTTTTTTTTTTCGTAGGTTATGCAGTTGTATTAAGATTGGTTATTGGAGGAAGGCGGATCCGATCGGGAGGTCGTCTGCGTTGAGGGCCGACTCTTTCCGGCCGTCGGCGCTTGAGCATTCCGTGCTTTGCGGGTTATGTCACGCTAGGGAAGAACAAAAAGTAAAAAAAAAACTGCTCTCGAGGACTTTTTTTTTTTTCGCTCCCTCCACCCGGCGCTTTCTATCTTTTTTTTTTTTTTTTTTTTTTTTTTTGAAGAGTTTTACTACTTCGGCAGTGTCATCAGTTATCCGTAACGCGGGCACGTTGCTTCTGGGAATCCACCTCTTTCCGAAGAACTGGGGCCGCCTCTCAAAAACTCGGTTCAAAGATTTTTTTTAGTAGGAAATTCGGTGGAAGAAATGGCACCAGCAAGGAAGAAAAGGGGAGGGAAGAAGTTTTTTCGCTTGTACTGATCCTCGTCGGAACATTCGGGCTCCTCGCGCGTGCCATGCCCACGCACCTTCGTACCGCAAAGCTCTATATCCCTAAAATAAAAATTAAAAAAAAAAAATATATATATATATATGTATATTTTTTCTTATTTGGGGGGGGGGGGGGGGTGGATGCCATGGCTGCATTCGTTATGCTTTACTATAACATTATTTTTAAAATGTACCCTCGTGAAGTTTCGACGCCATCCAAAAGGAGGTTGCAGTCTCCTACGAGACGAATTTCAACAAACTTAATTTCATCGTCAATGCAAGAAACTCCGCGTTTCCTGCGTCTTCGCTGAAGTTCGCTAACGCGTGTATTAATGTTTCTTTTTTTTTTTTGGGGGGGGGGGGGGAAGGGGGGGGTGGGAGTGACTGACCGTTTATGCATTCATTTGGAAGCGCGGTTTTAGCTAGTTGGCTCGTAGTGAGTGGTTCATAACCTGCCATCATTTTCGGACGACGGGAAGGCACACACTCGGAGCGGTTCTCAGTGGTCGTCGAACGGCTTTCTGCGGTTGCCTCGCGCGTTTGTTTTGTCGCCGCTGACGAAAAACTACAGCGACAACCGCAAAACAAATATAAACAAATGAACGTAGCGAAATCCGGGAAAGATCACACAGTGGATGGATGGAGGCGTCAACGAAACGACGCCGACGGGTCGCGCCTGTTTTTATACCCAAAGGTACAACTCGCGATGGACCACACAGGACTCTACGAGCCATCGAAGCCAATCCACTGCCGCGTGATCGTCACGTGACCGTCGGGAGAAGCGCAGCGACGCGTGGGGACCCGTCATCACGTGATACGTTCAGAGAAGCTGGATTGGCTCGTAGCGTCCGGTGCGGTCCATCGTAAGCCGAAACGGACTGTAGTGTCCTTTGTGTGGCCGTATTGTTGCAGTGTTTACGTTATCGACGCTGCGGGCCGCTCGGCAGACACGGCAGTAGGACCTACTGATCGTCGCGCTCTTCTACGTTTTTTGTTTTTTTTTATCCGTTTTGTACACCACCGCTTTTGTTTTGGCTCGTCGCGACGTTGTTGGGTCTTTGCTGCGAAGAGTTTTGCGTTGCCTTCCGTGCGTGTTTTTCTTTGACGCTGGAAAGGGGGGGAGGCGAAGTCGGGGTTGGGGTGAAGCCATCTCCGCTGTTGTTTTTCGGTTCCTTCGTGATTTTTGTTTTGTTTTATATATCGGGTGAACGAACGAAGGAAGGAAGAAAAGGAGAACGGGACTGAAAGATGGGGCATCTACCAACGAGGAAAGTAAAAACAAGGCCCAGCCAGGCAAAGTTGAGGGGAGGGCGTTAGTTGAAGAGCGGAAAGGAAGGCCGCTTTACGCGCGTGGCGGCGTTTCGTTTTGTATTGCCGTTGCAGCCCTCCTCACTTTTTCTGTTTTTATTTGGAGGTGCATGCCTCTTTTGGTTTATCTTTGGGGTTCAGTTTTCCCCTCTTGGTAAGCGCCCCTCGTTTTATTCTCCCTTATTTTATTTTTGTTTTATCTGTCTATCCCCGAGTTGTTTTTCTCTTGTTATTCGCTCTTCGCCGCTCACCAGTGTTGCTTCTCCGGTTCTCCCCTCCGTCGGCTTTTTTCCCTTCTTTTTTGTGTTCCATCGCTGCTCCGCACCGTTCGTCCGTTCCGTCCTTGCTTTAGGCGCCCCCCTCTTTCCTTCCGCTCTCTCCAGAGAGGAAAGCTCTTTCCTCCTCGGAGCGAGCGAGCGGCCGAGAGAAAGAGGGAGAGCTCGCTCGCGACGCGACAGACACATACACGCACAACGTGCGTTTTTCCGTTCGCGAGCGCAAGAGCGTCCCCGCTGCCTCCGCTTGGTTCCCTTGTTCGCGTCGTCGTCGTCGTCGGTCGGCCGGCATCAGCGGCAACAGCAGCAACAACGAGGACGACGTCGACGGCGGTTTTTCGTTGTGCAGTGCTGGGTTGGGTGGTGACAGCGGCTGCAGTGTCGTCGCTGCCAAGAGCCGCGCCGCCGACGCGGCCTCGTCGTCGTCGTCGCCGCGATGGATTGTGCCGACTAGCTTCTCCGGCGTCGGCGTCGTTGTTGGGCCGTGCGCGCGCGGCGAGCCGACGTTGATGCGTGCGCCGCTGTGGCATGTTTCCCTACGAGAGCGGCGGCGTCGGTGCCGGCTGCGGGCACGGCGGTGCGGTGTCCGGCTTTCTCGACGGCGCCGTGCATCATCAGCTGCATCAGCTGATGGCGCCGACCGGCTACCAGCAACAGCAGCAACAACAGCAGATGGCCAACGGGCTGAACGGGCACCACGAGCAGCACCACCAGCATCAGCTGGCGCACGGCCACTATCAGGTGAGGTGGGGCGTCGTCTTTGTTTGGACCGGCGCTCGTCGCCGCAGCCGTCTGCTCGCGTGTTGCGCGGACGGAGCGCGCTGCCCTTCCTTTCGATCGAGACTTGGAAGCTTTCGACACGTGATCCGAGATTGCCTCCCGATTTGGTGTACTGGATTTCCAATGTGTTCTTTTGCGGGGGGTTGGGCGCGCGGTGCTCAGAAAATCTTGTATGTTAGCGCGCGTTTAGCGCTACCCTTTGATTGGTTCCCCGGGTCCGACCGACTACGTGGATGAGGTGATTGTTGCCGCTGCTTCGTCTCATTTCCTTTTATTTTTCTTTTTTTATTATTATTTTTATTGCTTTCTTTTTTTTTTTAATTGTGCTGGTTGTTTTAGGGGTACACCTTTTGGCATTTGTGACTTAAAACGACGCTGCATTGTTTTCGGTGGGTTGACTACGCGAATCTGTAGTAGGTTGTAGGTTAAGAAGGTAGAGCGAGAGAAAGGAAGGTGGGAGAGGAGGCGGACGCAACGCTGGCGATGGGAGGGGGTTTCCTCTTCTCGCCTGCGTTGCGTCTATTTCCTCCTCTCCCACCTTTCTTTCCCTCGCCCTACCTTGTACGTGCTCGAAGAAATGAAATGATCTGATCTGAAATCGGAGCGCACTTTTCTGCTCACTGACAGGAAAAGAACGGCGGAGACTCTTCTCTACCACGCGCGCCTTCGATAACGTTTTGGCGTCGAGCATGCTCACGCAGCGCGGAGGGCGACAGGGGAGGCCGGACGTACAAAAGAGACGGCGTTCCGGTCTTGTCAGGGACTGTGGTTTAAGCACCGAAGTGGATTGCAAGTTAAGTAACACTTCGGAAGCATTCGTCACAGGAAAAACGGAGTAGCCAGCTGGGTATATACACGTTCATGCTAACCTTCCTGTCTTCAAATCATCGTCATCATCCAGAGAGGCCGTCCAAATTGCTCGTTAACGAAGAATGTTTGCCGAAGCATCGTTCCTGCTCTAATTTTTGTGACCCACTAACGTTCTTTTTATTACGTCATAGCATCGTTATGATTGCTTAGAAAGTGCGGCCTGGTTATCTAGACATAATGGAAATGCACCGTCCCCACCCCTTTCCCTCCGCAGTGTCAGTTTGCATTTACGGTCTGATTATCTCGTTTCTACGGACCTTATTCGAGCGTAGCAGGTGGGCGCAAAAGCGTTCTGTTACGCGTCCACGAAACCCTTCAGCTCCGTTTTATTATGGTCGTCTGCTAGGGAAAATGAATGGGCGTGATTATGCGGCTTCGGATTGTACTTTTAATCTGGTTCATCGTAATTCCGACTTCGTTTACTGAAGTAACTGCTCAGTGAGATGCATTTCTCTGTAAACTTTTTTTTTTTTTTTTTATGTTTACAAACGTTAGTCTTTTTTCCTAAGGGACTTCGTGTTGCTCCGTTTCGCTAGGCCTTCCAAGTCTGTTGATGTCACAGTTCCTAGGACGCTGAAGTTCTGTAGAAATCACGAGGTTGGGAAGTTTAGCGAGGTCATTTTTGCTGCGCTACTTAGCGTATTGTTTTACCCGAGTTTTATGAAAATCGCAAAGAGAGCTCGCTAATCAGTCCTTTAGCTAAACACCAGGAGGACGCAACATGCTACAGCGCCTCATTTTGGTGCTGTAAAAAAAAATGTAACGTTTTCATTCGTTTTTTTTTTTTTTTTTTTCCTTCAGAACAGAAGTTTCAGAGAACCTTCGGCGCATGCTTGAAATACAGAATGAGAAGAATACGCGAGGAACGGTAAAGCGTTGACAAATTCAGTGGACGGCGATTCCAAGTCGGTGGGGTCTATAAATCCGAAAATCGTGACTCTCTGCACGTTGTAGGTTACTTCGGGGGCCGAAGCGCGCGCTGTTTCTTTTGCTCAAGTATATGAGCCTTTCTCGTAGTTCACGCGACCTCATCGTCTTGTGAACTCACGGTCCATAGCGTTTTTATGAGTTCGTTAATTCTGTTTTACACGTTGAGATGAAGAGATGCGTGTCAATTGTGTGAGCTTGAATTCGTATGGCCGGCTAACATGCAATAAAGGGTGTGAGTAGTAAATCGGGGTTTAATTGAGAATAACGCCCTGCGCATGTGTTTGGTTACGCAATATCCCGTCAAATTGCACGGGGAGGTCGCTGTTTGCGACTTCTGGAAGACGACGGTATTTAGTGGTGAACGCGTAATGCTTTGAAATTACAGTAATGACATTGTGTATATATATAAACGATTCGGCCCCGCTTTCTTTTTGCCTTCTTCAAGATAATTCGTTGGTAATGTGTCGAGACTCGATTGCGCATGTCTGTTTCCTTGGCGTACCGCTGTCTGAGAAAGAAAAAAAAAATACTTTTCGTGTGAAGGTGACCACATGAGCACATATCTGGGTGGGCTTTCGCGTGGGCAGTTCTTGCAGCTCTGTTCGGCAAAGACTCTTCTTCGTAAACAATAAGGGGTTGTTGTGGTTGTTTTCTTCCTCTGTGATTGTTGCATTTTTTTTTTTACAGCTGAACGAAAAAGGTTCACTGCGCGATGTCAACACCATTGTCTGACGGTTCCATCTCGAATGTTTGACTGACTTGGCATTTCGAGGGGAAAATCGCCATATCGATCTTTCCTTTTCCAACCATTTCGTCGTTTACCCTGAGACTGGGTTTTTTTTTTTTTTTTTTTTTTTTTTTGAAGAGCAGAAGTAACAGAAAAAACAGACAGGTCTCTCTTTTTGCTCTTTTGTGTATGCCATTGTCCCATTCCCGCGTCATTTTCCTGAGAAATGACCCGCGCCGGTTCGTTTCCCGCCAAGTTTCGTTTCTCACTTCCCTCGTTCGTCGGCAGACTCCTTCTCGTGCGTCGTTTCGATTGCCTTCGAGACACGTGAAGCGTTCAGCACCCGTCTGTTTGTACACTCCGAATGGCTTCCCTCGCTCGGCTTTACCTCGCGGGTCTGGGAAACTCGCCCCTGACCATTCATTGGGTTAAATGGCTCTACTACAAGACGCGAGCACTACCCGGAAATATTCTCAGAAACGATTGAACACGTGACTCGTTGGAAACTTGAGACGTACACGTCATCCGTATTTTTAGAATACACTGTTTTTTTTTTTTTCCGTTTAGTTTTATGAATTAGCCAACTAAGAGCGTCTTGGTGGACAAGAGATACGCCTGATGACTGCTAAGGTCGCCAGAAAGTTTTGTTTTGTCGACGAACTTGATTGAGGGTGTTTCCGGGATCGGTCGATCAGCGCCAGCGTCTTCGCATGTGTCCTTCGCAAAGAGCGCTTGTTTCCGCCGTCATCTGCAGAAGCTCAGCCCCCAAATCTCCGGAGGAAAATAATGTATTTAATTAAAGCGCGGCAATGTGCTGCGCCATGATCGAAACTCTGCTACATGTTGCGCTAAATTGCCATTTTTGGTATAAAATGCGCCACGCATGCGGCAAGTTGGCTTCCACATCATAAAAAAAATATATAATATGGTCGACCCTAAAATTCTGAGGAAAAAAAAAAGGAAAGGAAGATGCTACAAATATATACCACAGCATCTCCACTTACCGTATAGTTTGTCTCATCTTAGGTCAGAGAGAGCGAAGTTGAAAGCTCGAGCACATACAACCACGAGCAGACATACTAAAAGCGCAAGTCATGAGAGATTTGCTGCACTCGATTTGCCTTGCCCAGGGGTGGCCAAACCGCGGCACGCGAACCTCATGCTACTCTTCAGAGGCCCAAGTGCGGGTCGCAGTTCCCTGACAATCTCTCTTTCTTTCTCTCTCTTTCTCTCTCACTCTAACACACACACACACACAGAGAAAGAAAAATACATTGAAATGAAATACACAGGAAGACAGGCAGCTTTCGTTTTGTCATCTTTGTGCCATCATACGGACTCCAGTAAAGAAGCATGCTGGGCAATCACTTTATGAGTGGAATTCGCCATGGCTGCTACCAACTTCAACTGAAAAGAGCGAACTTTTTCAAATAGTGCCACGGCTTTTTCTTTTCTGATTTGATATTTAACGTGGTTCCTTTTTATGGTCCTTTGAATATGTCCGTCCGGCCCCCCTCTAGTCTAGCCGATAACGGGCTTCGCCGCTTTGCACCGGAGTGCTAGGAGCGGCTGCCGACACGGGGACAGCGCCTGGGTCAGCGCGACTGGCTCGTAAGTTATGCTCAGTGCTATTTCATGGTGTAGCTTCTTGGGTCTGATTACAGGTCGACCTATTTTAAACAGCTGTGCCTAGAGAGAGAAAAGAAACGTCGGTCTATTGCCAAGGTAGTTCTTGGGCAGCTGTCAATCGAAAGAGCAGCGAACTTTCTCGCAACTCTGGTTCCAGTGCGCCGCTAAAGAGCAGTGTCACATTTAAAGCGCGAGTGTAGGCTTTCATAATATTTGTGGGTGGTTGTCTTTTTTGAAGTTTGTGATTGTAAAGTCTCGAGTTTTGTAGATTTATAAAATCTTGGAGCGTAAATACGCATTGTGGCGGACGTGCTGTTTTTTTTTTTGCTGTAATTTTACGGGAATTATGTATACGGGCTAAATGAACTACCGACTGTGGAAGGGGGAGGGGATTGAGGCTTTATCCCGAGTGCAGTGTTGCTCTGATTATTTTTGAACCATTTTTATGAATCCCCGTTTTGAATGGAACATACTTTGACCAGTCTTATTTCTACAAAGAAAGCTTTCTGTTCATTTTGCACCTTTTTTGCTATTACAAAAGGTAATAAGTAATTTGCTAAAGTGTCAAAGGAGGGACCCTCAGTCATTATCAAAAACGAAGTCGTTTACCGATGCACTTTTCTTAAAGTTATGTTTTAACAGACGTTTGCTCCAAAAGCGTCAGTGGTTGCTCCAAACCAATGTTGTGCCTGCTACAGAACCGGCTTCAGAAGGTCTAATGCCACTTCCATGACTGCCACCAAATACGCCATCCTCTTAGCCCCGCTACAGTTCCTTGGAACTTCACTTTGTATAATTTATGAAA